CCTTCATATAATCTCTTGACTAAATCGGGATTAGATGTATAATATCTGGAAAATCCGACCAACGTACGGTTATCACTAATATCGTTAAGCAAAGTTTTGAAATGAGGAGCATCATAAGTATAATTACCACTCTTCAAGATGATACCCTTCCAAATTTGTCCAACAAAATTGTTATCACCCTTTTGTTCAGATTTGTCAACGTCAAGATTGCCTTGAACTCTAGGCTCAACAATAGACACATAAGCAAATTCGTTACCGTTGTCTGCTCTCTTTTGTAGTTCGTGCAATAAATAACTAAATGTAGTGATAGGATGAGTTGAATCTTGTTCAGCCTTCATACCTTGAAATTTAGCCCAAGGTGAGATTCTGATAGCCAATCTATCGGCACCAACAATAGTGATCAAGTGATCTATCAACTCTAATAAAAATCTAGCTCTGTTTTCGACACTGCCACCATACTTATCAGTTCTCTCATTCGTAGCTGGTTGCAAGAATTGATCAAGTAAATAACCATGAGCAGAATGAAGTTCGATATAATCGAATCCCGCAGCCATCGCTTTTCTGGCGGCATTAGGGAATACTTCATAAATGAGATCATGGACTTCGTCTTCTTTTAAAGCTCTAAGTGGATTTCCTGCAGCTTCGGCTTTCTTCTTAAAGTCATCATTCGGATAAAGTGCAGATGAGGAGACCAAATCTAAACCGTGTTCTTTCAATAACTTAGGGTCTGCAACTCTACCTAAAAACCAAAATTGACACGAAATGAATGAACCGTTCTCATGGACCTTATCAGTAATCTTCTTCCATGCATTAACCTGCTTGTCATTCCAAATTCCTGGAACGTTTGCATATAATCCACCTTGCTCAGATACAAACGTAGCCTCTGTGATTAATAATGATCCTGGAAATTTAGATCTCTTATCATAGTATTCTAATTCCAAATCTGAAGGGGTATGATCTTCCAAAGCTCTGTTCCTAGTAGTAGGAGCAAACGTTACCTTATTCGTTAAAGTATGTTGACCGACCTTTACCGGCTTAAACAAATCTGTTTCTTTCAATGGTGATACTTTAGTAGCTGTCATGACAATTATTTTATATTCTAAATTCCAAGTGTTTAACAAAACATACTTGCAAAAGTATAGTATACTATATATATAATACAAAACGCAGTCTCAACATTAGTAATCAGAAGTCCGCTTATTTTAACCGAGAAGAAATAGACACCAATTCTGTCAATCACAAATCCGATAATACGGACTTTGATTTGGAAGTTAAAAGCCTTTACTACGTTACAGAATATCAAATCAAACGTTTAATTTAACGTAACGTAATTGCAATCTACTCTTATTTACATTACTTTACTAATGGGGTTGTCTAGTGTGGACCTGAAATGTTGCAGTCAGGTGATATATTACAAAGATATATGAGTCTGTTTTCAATAGCCTACATGTGAGCAACACATATGTAGATGACAATAGGATCTGATACATTTCAAGATTCGCATGTAGTGGAAATTTTAAGAAAAAATTAAGTTGAAAATATGTATTTATATAATTATGTATTTATGAGAAGGGTCTATTTAACTTTAATTTCTTCTATGGCTTGGGCGATTCTTTGGACCTCCGCGTCCTTGCCAACTTCAGTCTTTTCATCATAGTTAGTCCAAGAGTTGTAACCCCAATTATTCTTAGTGTAGAAAGTATCTCTATCATATGGTGTCAAATCCCAACCTTC